CGTACCAGACCGGACCGGCAACGGGACCGCGAACCTCGGTGTCGCCCCCACACCTTGCTCAGCCAGTGAGCAGGAACCGGTCTGTATGTGGGATCCGAACCCTCGGGGGGAGCGCCATCGCGCTCCCAAGCGGCGCACTGTAGCAGTGCGCCACCAGGCCGACCCGACCAGTGGATTTTAATGTAACAGAGTTGAAAAGTTCATCTGTAACATTTTAGATTCCAAATTGCAACTAACCTTTAAAAAACTACCACTTGTAAAGTTCTGCTTTTGTATCAAAGAACAGCTACAATTACCTAAAAAAGCTATAGAAATACTCCTCTTTTCCCAACTGCATATGTATAAAGTCAAATTTTCTTCATATCACAACAGATTGCAGAAGCAGATAAGAGAATCCAACTGTTTTCTATCAAGCCAATCATTAAAGAGTTTTGCAGAAATGTAAAACAGTGCCACTCTTCCCACTAGTTTTTTGGTTTGTAATATATACTTATTTTTCATAAAATGTTATATTGATATTTAGTGGATTTACTGTTGTTATAAATAAATAAATATTTTTAATTTTTCTCAATCTTAATTTATTACACAGTAAATATTAGTAGGTAAAACCCACAGAAACAAAAAAATCTTTTAGGCCTTCAGTGACTTTTGACAGTGTAAAATAATTTTAACACCAGAATTTGAGGATCACTGGTTTAGACCACAAGGCGGAGATCTGGTGGTGGGGTAGATTTAGGAGAATGGGAAAGGTTTTAAATAGCCATTAATATATATATTTTTTTCTCATTAGCTGCAGAATACTAAAAAATATAAAACTGTATTAGAGAGTCCTCATTGGTTTAGTTTTGCTTAAATGGGTTTTTAACCAGTTTAGTCAAGGGGGCAGGATGGTGTTTTAGAGTTAGATGAATCTGAATTTGAATTCTGGCTGAATGACCACGGGAATATCACCAAAACTTCTAGTGTCAATTTTTGCACCTGTAACATTGAAACAATGTCATCTACCTCAGATGGGTTACTGTGTAAATCTTTGCTACTTAAAGTGTTCCCTGGACCAAGTGTTAGCAATGCTAAATACCCAGAGCTCTGAATCATTCTGGGTTTTAGTGAGTCCCCAGGTGTTCCTTATGCACAGTAAAATTTGAGAAGCACTGCAGTAGGGCACCTGCCAGAATGTTTGCCCATCACATAACAGGTGTTCAATGAAAGTTCCCTTTCCTTTTACTATTTATTATTCTTCTGTTTATGGATATAACTGTTTCAGTCTTTTGAACTAAAGTTATTGGCTTGATTTTTAAAAACACATCTGACCTGTTAATTTAGTCTCTTTTTCTTTTTTTTATCAGCATAAGTAATCTTTCCTTTAGTTTAAAAGTTGTAGAACTTCCAGACCTATGGACTAGATTCTAGATCCTCTCTGTCCCTTTGAAAATTCATTTATTCATTCAATACATATCAGACACACAAATATGTAAGGGACTATGCATGACACTAGGGGAGCAGTGCAAAACAGACATGGTCCTCACCCTTGTGATGCTCAGCTGAAAAAGACACAATGTACCAAAACACAGCATTTGTAGTTCCCAAGAAGGAAGGCTTGGTGCATATATAGGAATAGCATATACTTTAAAAAAAGTTTTCAGAGTTTTTTTTTTTTTTTTCCTTTTCTGGATTTTCTTAACTTTTATTAATGTTTTAAAAAACACTTTATATCATGTAATGCTTCTTGCTTGGAATTCTACATTGTGTTATGATAAAAGTGCTTATCTCACATCTTTTCACTTGCCTGCCATAGTTGTGACGATTTCAAAGTATTGGATTTTTAATTCTTCTAACGTATGAGTTATTTTTTCCAATTTACTTAAAATTTTTTTTAATTGTTTTATTGTGTAAAGAAACTTAATATAAAATTTGCCGGGCTGGCCAGTGGTTCACCTGGAAGAGTGTGGTGCTGATAAGACCAAGGCCATGTGTTCAGATCCCTAGATAGGGATGGCTGGTTAGCTCACTTGGGAGAGTGTGGTGCTGATAAGACCAAGGCCATGTGTTCAGATCCCTAGATAGGGATGGCTGGTTAGCTCACTTGGGAGAGTGTGGTGCTGACAACACCAAGTCAAGGGTTAAGAGCCCCTTACCAGTCATCTTTACAAAAAAAAAAAAAAATTGCCATCTTAACCATTTTTAAGTGAGTAATTATAGTGAGTAATGCTAACTATATTCAAGTTGCTGTGCAACCGATCTCTAGAACTTTTTTAACTTGCAAAACTGAAACTCAACACCCATTGAACAACAATTCCATTTCCCCTTCCTCTAGCCCCTGGAAACCACAATCTGCTTTCTGTTTCTCTGAGTTTGGCTACTTTAGCTACCTCATATAAGTGGAATCATGGTATATTTGCCTTTTTGTGACTGGTTTATTTCATTTAGCATAATGTCCGTAAGGTTCATCCATGCTGTATCATGTGATAAGATTTCCCTGTGTTTTAAGGTTGAATAATATTACATGTGTATGTATACCACATTTTGCTTATTTCATCCATTGATGGACATTTGGGTTGCTTCCACTTCTTAGCTATCATGAATAATGCGGCAATGAACATAGGTGTGCCTCCAGAGTACTTCGACTCCAGAGGTTGACTCTAATCTGTCCCCATGCCTGAAAATAGCTCTTGACTATCAGCAAGAACTGCTGGCTTGAGCTAGCAGGGATGGAAATGTGGGCCGCTTCTGGTCAGGTTGCCATCTCTGATGTCCAGGCATAAGCAACGGGAAGTAGAAAACAGACTGAATTACTCAGAGCAGCATTCCCTGTCTGAAGGGAAGATGCTAACTTGGGTTGAATGCTGACCATGCTGAACACTATCATATGTGTGTTGAGGGGGAAATGTGGGAGGTTTCTTGAGTTACGATAACTATGAAAGTAATGACTTTTCGTCTTCAACTTCTCAAGATCATGTATATGCCATAATGAAAACAGTGATCACCACCATCAGGAATAAGCCCAGCATGGACCTTAGCATAGAGGGGATTTTTGTTCTTTGAAAAGAGGGTTAATTTTAGAATAAAATATATTCAAGTTTCAAATATAATAAAAACTACTAAAATTTAAGTTTGACAACATTTTTTTTCCAGCTGTCAAGGTGTGGGTTAGAATTGCAAAGAAACATGGGTCTATATGGCTGGTGTAGCAGAAAGCAGTCTCTCAAAGGGCACCAAAGCCCCCACCAGGATTCTAGACTGATGTTCTTTACTCTCTAGGTTGCTGATTAAAGACTAGCTTTCAGCAGGAGTGATTTATTTAAAGAACTTTGGTTTCATTAGAAGAAACTGGGGTCTGAATCTGGGCTCCCATGTCATGCCTGTAGATGACATTCCTGATAAAATCAGATCATACAGAGAAAGCAATGAGTCCAGACCAATATTGAAGCTTTCCTGGGGGCCAGGAAATAAGCATTCAAGGAGGGGAGGGGAAAAAAAAACACTCTTGCAAAATTGAGCTACTTAGACTGACTTGCATTGATTAACCCATCATTTCGTCCTAGGAGAAGGGGAGAAAGATTATTGCAGACTCTACCTTTTGGTACCTCTTTATTGGAGTTACTTATAGCAAATACGGTTATTTTATGGTACAGTGAAGCGGAAAAGGCACTGGACTGAGTCAGAGATGGGTTCTAGTTTCGTCATGGCTGCTTACTAGCTGATGGCTTTGGACAAGTGCCTCCCCCTCTTGAACCTCAGCTTACCTTCTGTAAAATCCAGCACTTGATCTAGAATAGCTCTATTCCTTTCAGCTCTAACATTCTGTGAGTTAATGACATCACTTGGCCATTGTATCCATTCTACTTTTTTTATTTGGCATTTGTTTGTTTGATACATATATACATATATAAAAATCTGTACATGGTAAAAATACAAAATAAGTATTTCTTTATAAGTTATGCAATCAAACAGCTACTTTTTTAAAGTTTAAAAACCATCGCAAAAAATAAGAGAGAAATAAATCTAGTCAGTCCTTTATCGTCATTCACAATTACCTTGGTATAAAATATCCATACAACACATGTGTACAAAATAGTGTACAGTTCATAAAAGCTGTGCAAAGACAGCAAAGTTCTGTTAAAAAAAAATCAGAGAGGCTGTGGATCTCTCTGCCCACATCATGCCCAGTGCTCAGGAGGTTTGCAGCTTAGTGACACCTCCCCAGTAATAATAAAACAGCACAAGGTAGAGTGCTTGATGCATATACTATGGATGCAGAAATTTAAAAGAAAAAGTTTTAAAGCACACATTACAGAAACAGAGACTGACTTTTCTCCCCCTTTAGAGAACTCGCTTCTTTCCCCACAGAGCATTTGGAAAATGACAGAAAACACTCAATATTTACGTTGTGCCTTAGACCAGAAGGCACAGATTATATATATATATATATATATCTCTTTTTTGAAATTTTTGAGCTTTCTAAGGGAACTGCTATGAGAAGATAGGGGTAAAAGCGAGTGGTTACCGGAGTCTGGAGTGGGATAGGAGGCCCTTGCTACCTAAAATAAGGAAAGGAAGAGTTCTAGGAAGTCAAGGGTCTTGGAGTTAGTTATACACTTGGTGTTTTGACTCCTAACTAGGTTTTCTCCTCCATAGAAATATTTCCTACCGTGTAAGGTTGTCGCTGCTGAAGATCAGCAGGGTCTGGCTCATAGTTAAGTCCAGGCTGTGGTTACAGGAGAACCCACCAGTGTGTTCAAAACAGCCTGCAGTAAACATGAGAGAATGGAGCCCTTGTGGGCAAGTTAAGGCTGGGACCGAGACCCACGTTTAACTTACGTGGGGAGGGCTGTTCGGTGGCGGTGCTGGGAGAGGAAGGGGCCGCGGCGCCCTTGACCCGTTGATGGCTCTCCGTGGGGAGCGGCAGCGTCTGGGCAGCGGGACACAGGAACGGGCACACAGGGTCCCGCCTGTCCACGTTCAGAGCGCTCCTCGCCAGGACCCGGGCGCGGCAGAGGCTTCTAGGACACGGTGATCTCCTCGTCCTCCTCGCCGTCGTCGGCCTCCTCGGAGTCGGAGAAGTCCGAAGGTTTCCCGGGGCTGTTGGAGGGCGCGGGCGACGGGGGCGGCGGGTCCCGCAGGGGCGGCGGGTCGGGGCGCGCGTGATAGGCCCGGCGGTGGCGAGGGCTGCCGCGACCCTCGTCGTCCCGCTCGTCGTCGCCGGCACCCTTGTGGCCCACGTCGCTGAGGTCCGGGTGCGGATTGAGCTTGGTGGGAAGGGTCTGCTCTCGGCAGCCCCCGCTGGACAGGAGTTCGCGCTCCTTGGAGTTCCGCCATTTCATGCGTCGGTTCTGGAACCAGATTTTCACCTGCGGCGCCCGAGGGGACGGGCGGGCGAGGGGAAGGGAGGAGCAGAGGTCGGCGCAGGGGCCCCGGGGCAGGGCGCAGGTCCTTCCCCGCCGCGCCCGCTCCCCACCCCCCGGAGGGGTTCCCACGGGTCACGGGACCTACGCCGCCCCCGCCCCAGCTCGTCGCTTCGCTTGTCCCCTCCTCGGGCACCCGGCTGAGACGGGAGGGGCTGTGGAGACGCCGCCCTCACCTGCGAGTCCTTCAAGCCCAGCTTGGCCGCCAGCTTCTTGCGGTCGGGCTTGCTGATGTACTTCTGCTTCTGGAACATCTTCTCCAGCGCCTTGCGCTGCACGTCGGAGAACACGGCTCGGCGCAGCATGCCCCGGCGAGGCTTGCCCCGGGCGGCCAGGGGCCACGAGAAGGGCCCGGGGATGGGCACGACGCTCGAGGACGCTGCGGGGGGAGGCGCGAGTGAGCGGGCCCGGTAGCGTCTGCCCTCCCGGGGATGGGCACGACGCTCGAGGACGCTGCGGGGGGAGGCGCGAGTGAGCGGGCCCGGTAGCGTCTGCCCCTGCACGGTGGCTTTCTCGGTTTTGGTTTGTTTTCTTCTCTATGGTCCCTGCATGTCTTTAAAGCGCCCCCGTCCCACCCGACCCCCCGTCCTCGCCGCTCCCGAGAATAAGCCACGAACCTACAAACCTGTGACAGTGAAAGGCGCTTTCTGCCTAAATAACTTTTCCTTTCAACCATGCAAACCCGGATTAGTTAGAATCACGGAAACGCAAAAAAACAAAAATAGCCCCCACGGTAGATTGTTTCGTTTTTCCATTCAGCGGTTTTAGGGAAACAAACCTGAGTCCATCAGCTAAAATTGCAACAGAAAAAAAATTATAACAGTCAAATAATCCAGCCGAGGCCCCTGGGTTTCTCCCCTAAGCTTTTACCACCTTGGTGGCTCTCGCATTCTTTAGGTGGAAATGAGGAGTTTCACTGTTTTGAGAGAGGGGAAAATCCGCTTTAAATTTTTTGAAAATCTAATCTGTATTCATCTTTTTTATATTAATCTTTCCTTCCCTCCTCCACAAAACGTAAAGAATTCGGCCAGAATACATGAAAAGTGGCAGCTAATTAGCACATTGACCGCTTCCCAATGGGTATTGGCATGATAAAAAGGGGGAGAGTTTCGCTTTAAGGGAGAGAAAAAAACAAAACAAAAAGAAACAGAGACTCTAATGAAGCGTGAATGGTAATTGTGTAGTAATGAACTAACAGAAAAAGACTGAGGACAAGCAGCGAAAGCCATATATTATGGGGACAAAAGAGATTTACACTTTCAAACTAAACACAACTGCAGGCCAAGACCATTGGGAGAATACTGATGGCAGAGGCTTCTCTTCCCCCAATCGTTTTCATTAAATGGACATGAAAAGCTATTTATGAAGCTCGGGTTGTTTTTGTTAGAGCATTGAGATGAGGGAGAAAGGGAGCAAATTCCATTATCAGCAGCAGCATGAATGGGAGGGGGGACTGTTGGTGAATTCTGTCTTCCCGTTTAAAAAGCAACTGCTTGGTTTTTTCGCTGATATTTGGGAGTGCTGTCTTCGTCTTACCCATCCCCCACCGGCCATGCTCGGTCTCTCTTCTCTTTATAGGGGTCGCCTGTCTGTCTTTTTTTTTTTTTTTTTTTTTTTTTTTTTTTTTTTTTTTTTTTTTTTTTTTTTTTAAAATCTGACTAGTGGCAGAGTTTTTGAGCCACGGTTTGAGTCACCAGTGAGATTCCGGGATGAAAACCTCGTGGGATCTCTTTAAGGTGTTCCTCCTTTAGACGGAGACCCAATTTTGGGCTTCCTTCCAACTGCTTCTTATTTTGCAAGCTCGACGGTCTTCACAAAGATACAGCGGTGGGGGAAGAGTATGAGAAGGGGTTGGAAATAGAAGGTTGCGGTTGGGGGAGGATCTAGTCGTCCTCCCCTTGGGCGACCCCAGGCATCCCACACAAGAGGGCACCCCATGTGGTCTTGTGAAAAGCCCGAAGCCCTGAATGGGTCTTAAAGAGAAATTAGCCCCGGCTGGTAGGTGTCTCTCGGCGGCGTGGAGGGGCTAGGGCCGGTCTGTGTGTGGCTGCCCGGAGGAGCTGACCAATTGGTCATGGTGCTGAAACCTTTGTGGGGAATCGTGGCCAAGTGCAGTGACTCTGTGGGAAAACGGCGGCGTGAAGGGATGCCAACAGCTCCTCGCCGGGAAGGGAACCGCCTCAAATTGGGACCATGACAATTCCTGCTAATTTGTAGAGCAGGGAATTGGTGCAAAGTGTCAAGCAGTCACTGCTTGTGCTAAATAGGGCATCAAATTGGCGCGACGGATTCGTGAATGTTGTACGCCTCGCAACCTCTGAACCAGAGCGTAACCCCGAGGGGTGGACGGAGAAATATGGCTTCAGGGCAGGGAGCGACCGGCCGGAGCCAGCCTCGCGCAAGGAAGGGTGACAAGACCTACCTGGGAAATAAGAAGATCTGATGAAAGGCTGGAAGGAGCCTTCAAAGTAGGGAAAGGCAAAGGTCTTGGGAGGGACGCTCTGGAGCAAGGCGGGGGATGTTTCTGGGAGAGAGAGAGAGGAAGGGGAGAAAGGAGAGAGGGAGACAGGAAATTTGATTATGTACTTGATTATCGTACAGCATATTGGATACATATGATTAACCATTCAGCTGGTTGCAAGGGTATCTTCCTTAATGTATTGACAGAGTAAAGTAAATCTTCCTAACAGTGTTTCATCTGTGGAAATCCTTCCTTCCCCCCACCAAATTGTCCTCTGCGCCTGTCCCACTCTTCCCCACTCTCCATCCTAGGCACTACTAATAAGATAATTAGGACTGGAGCGGGGAAGGAAGGAATTGCAGACCCACAATACTAGCTAATCTAATAAATATACTGTTATACGGTCTTGGTTTCTTAAAAAAAGAACACAAAACAAAAGAAAACTGTCTCCTAGAAGCTCGAGAGCAGAAATGCAGACGCGCAGGAGCTTGCGCTCAACTTTGCGGCTCCAGACAACTGCGCGCTCTCTCCGACTGCATGTGCTCAAGTTCATTCTGAGGGTGGGGCAAGCCTGGAAGCTTTTCTTCCCCTGAATTGGCTCGATCTAAGTCTCACATTGCCCGACGTGGGATCTTGGAGTTTGTGCGTAAGTGTGTGCACGGACATGTGCATGGCTACTCGCTCTGTAAAGGAAACCGAGGCCAGGAAGCTGCGTATGCCCGGCACCTGCGCGAGCCCTCAGAGTTCTGCCCTCACTTACCTGTTCTGGGCGCTGAGGAGAGGATGGCGTTCACCCCAAACTTCAGAAACGTGGGTTCGCTGGCAGGGGAAACGGCAGTCTGTGGAGAACCACCCTGCCGGCTGCCGGGACCCGGGGAGCCTAAGTCCGAGGCCCCCGTTTCGGTGAGGCCCGCAGGGGCCCCCTGCCTAGGCGGCGACATGCTGCCGGTGGGCACACTGCGGGGCAGATAGGCTGGGGGTCGGCTGATGCGAATCAGATCCTCCACCAGGAAGCTGGAGTGGCCAGAAAATGCCGACTGCAGGGACTGGGGCAGCGTCAAGGTGGGCGTGGGCCGCAGGAGGCTAGGGTACCCGGCGGGGGGCGCGAGGAGGCCGGGGAACATCATGGTAGGCGCAGGGCGGGCGAAATAACCCTTCTTCCAGTGGCCGGAGGGTAAACGCCTAGTTTCCCGCCCCTCCCGCCCCCGCGGTGTCCTCTCTCTTGGGCTTAGCAAAGGTCTCCAAGTAACGATCCCACTTGGGCGTCTGCGAGTACTCAGTGGTTCTCCTGTCGAGGTGATGGTTTTATAGTGGCCCGCCCGCTAACGCGCTTTGAAAAGTGACAGCTCTGACAATGAAGTTCAACAAAGTTCTCCACTCGAGCTTCATTCGCCAGAGGCTCTGGGCGCTCTGATTGGCGCAGGGGTGCAATTTATGATTGGATTAGTCTTCATAAGCACGGCCCGCACAATGGGCCAGCAACAAAGGCCCGCGCGCATCAATTCTGCATATCGACCGCCTCTTTGCAATACAGTGCTCCCGCAAAGCTCTCGCCGGGGCTTTTTGTTCCGAAGCAACACCCGGGCTAATTAAATGCCTATTTAGAAGTTTCAGATGACATCTTGCCTTCTAGAAAAGGAATTATTTAAGGAACGCACTAAATTTATTTGCAGCTCTCCTGCTGAGCCTCGAAAATAAATCAATAAATATTCATAGAAATATATCTTCAGGCTATCAGTAAAATTACCCTCCCCCCTAGGGGGAGGAAATGGAAAATTTCAAGTCAGCAAACATGAAAATATACTCTCTCTCTGGTCGCTAGCGCTATTTGTTACTCCAGCTGAAGCATAAAGCAGATGTGAGGGGAGGGTTAAATCAATGTTAGAAGTCCCCTTCTACCAACCCTAGGAGACTTCGAAATTGATGCTTTGGGGCTATTAGATGTGTGTCCGTAAGGACGGTGGTGGGCCGGGAGGGAGGTCTTAATCTCGGTTATTTCATTTAAGGAGACTGGTTGGGTTTGAGAGTTGGTGGATACCTGAACAAGTAAAACGCGTCTCCTGCTAACTCCCAACAACCTGGAGAAGGATTTTCAGCGAAGTTTCTCCTGGGAGTCTCTGCAAGGAGCGCTCCGCAGCTCAACATGAGGGAGAAGCGGAGCAGAGCACCGCACCGTGGCCAGGCGGCGGGATTCCACTTGCAAAGGGCTTACCCCTGCCGGAAGCTACCTCAGGCAAAGCGACCCCACGCTGTGAGTGCTATGCTGGCCCTTTTCCAATTTCAAGGAGCTCTTGGCAGTTTGTGTGAGTTCGAGTTGAAGCTCACAGCCCGGACATTTTAAACCATAGCAGCGAAGGTCCAGAAGTCGTCTGGAGAGAGCCCTGCCTATTGCGGGGCGCTTGACTTGGCAGGGTTTTGCAGCTTCTTAATGAGCTACAATGTACAAGTGCTTGAAAACTGGAGGGAAGGACGGGTCCCCAAGAATGTTGGTACACACCAAGAAAGCCTCTCATTAATTTGGGGCCTCAAACGAGTGTCTTCCTGGAGACAGTCCCTTTGCTTTCCTCTGGGCTGGGGCTGAAGTGGTACTGAGCCTGATTCCCCCATTTCTCTGTTCAGCGAGAAAACAGATGTGTTAAACGTCCCATTCATTTCTTTAGTGTGGCTGAACCTCCCCAAAGAGAAGTGTGCAGCCCCGCCAGGCCGCCCTGATCCTATTAACCATGAACTAACTGTCACCTTCAGCTGGTTTTCCTTTTTGCTTTTTAACACAAAGCTTTCTCAAAAATCTTATTAACCAGCTTTATTTCTCTCGATGGTTTTGTTCAGGGCGTTTTGTGTTGATGATCTCCATGTCGCTACTTTAACCATTCAACAAAAGTGCATCTGTGATTTATATCACATTAAACCAGAAACGGAGCCCGCTAAAGCTCTCCCTTGATTCAAATTAAAAAGTTATTTAGGGCCAGGCTGTGGAGGCGAATGAATGCTTGAAGGTGACGTAAGTGCGGAGTTTCCGAGCCCAAGACTGACTTACGAAGGAGGCCTGGGCGGCAGGCAGGGAATGCAGGAGAAAACCAATCAGGAAGGAGCAACTTTTAAGTAAGCGGCTATTTAAAATGGGAAATGCATTGCTCCAGTTAATTGGAGGCCCTGGAAACAGAAGAAGGAGGTCTGTTTAAGAATGTCAACAGTTCCTCTTTTTGAAGTTTTGCAATGAAATAGGTGAGAAAAGTATAAACTATTTTTACCTGCGCTTTAACCTTGCCACAAGACAAAGTCTTCTATTGCAATAGGACCGGCTGTCTCCCTCTCCCCTCCCTTCTGCCTCTCTCTCTCTCTTTCTCTCTCCCTCTCTTCTTTTCCTTCATTCTCCCCCCCCACACACACACGGCCCGCCTTTTCTCCTCCAATCTGAAGGCGGTGAACTGTTGCCAGTTGCCAGAAGAACACGCCTATGGTTACAGGTGTTCCAAACGAAGCGCTTGCCCAATCTTCTGGAGGATCGGAATAAAGCTCAGATTTTCAGAAATCAACTTGGGTTTTGTTTGGGGTAGGGGTGAGGGCCATAAGGACTAGAAGCCAGCCTGGGGTCTTCCCAGCGCCCCCCTTCCCTAGGTTTCCTCCCCTGCTAGGGCATTTCCCTGGGTGTAGTTTTTACAGTTATTATTCTGCCCATTGACACGCTCGCTGCTTTCCCTCCGTCCCCGCATTCTGCCTCACTATGCACTAACTACTGCTAACTTCTCTGCTTTTAAAAGGCGGCCCTGACACTTTTTGGAAGGTGGGTCAACCCCTTGCTGCGATCCACGTGGACCCCGCTTCCTGCGGTCCGACTACTCAGACTCGTAAAGAATTCCTAAGGCGCCCAAGAGGAAAAGTGAGGGCGGGGGCGGGGGCTGGCTGCCGGTTGAAAGGCAAAATAAATCCCGAGGAAGCAAGAAATCGGACGAAAGGATCTTACTTTAAGTGATCTCCTTGAACGCGTCTTTTCACACTCCTCCATAGCCTAAGGGGCTGCGCGGCGCGGCGGCTGCAGCTAAGATCTGTGACTAATGCCGTTTGACCTGAGCCCATGGGTTTTTGTGCGTCCTGCCATTCATTGTAATGTCGTTATCTTCAATTTTATTTTGGAGAAATCACTCGCGTTCTTCATCCCAAGGCTGGGCTTTCTATCTATTTCCCTTTCAAGGGAAAAGAAGACAGAGGGGAAAAAAGAACTGGGAGCCCTAGTTTGGGGTTAGGTCCTCGCCTGCGCCGCGGGCGCGACTGCTCGCAGGGGGAGTTCGCAGCAGATCCGGGCTGGGCTCCTGGGGCCTAGGAGGCCAAAGCTGACGGAGCCTCTTTGGGACGGTAGGACGGGCTCTCGGAACCCGCTCTGGGGGCTCTCTTCCCCGGGGCAGGGGAGAGCGGGCGCGCCCCAGCCTCACGCGCCGCGCGGTCGCAGCAGCCCAGCTCTCTCCACTGGGGGCCGAACCAGGAGCGTCACGGGTAAGCTCAGGCCACGAAGCGAGGCGAAAGGAGCTGCAAAGTCGAGTGGCATGAGCTTTCCGGCCCTCCGAAAAGACAGCGAGTGTCCGTTTCGGGAAGGTTGGGACCCCAAGGTCGCTCTTTGCAGGCTTCGGACCCCCAGGCGTTGGCGCTCTGGGCCGGAGCCGCCCGCAGAGTTAGAGCGCGCTTTGCAAGGTGGGCGGGAGGGACGCCGGGCGGCTGCAGGATAAAGCGCCCGCCGCCTGGTTTCTCCGGTCCGGGGGCGCGGGGCGGGGAAGAGGGTGCTGACCGCAGAGGCAAAGGAAGGCGGTGAGGCTCGGGCTGAAAGAGCTTTCCTGCCGCCCCAGCCCCTCTCGGCGAGCCTCTCTATTAAGACAACTCTAAGGGGTTCACCTTTAGAATAGGCCACGAGGAGCTACCGGCCGCCCCAGCCCTTTCTAGCGTCTCCCCCCTCGCTCTCCCATCCCTTTCACACTCTCTCCCCTCTTTTTCCTTGAAAATCCTTCTATTGTGCCAATCAAGCAGATGGTTTGCAGGAAATATAGCTTGGCCTCGCTGACCGAAACTAATTTTAACTAGCTTTCCAAGCCTGAAACGTTTGTTTTGCTCTTACAAAATAGCCCCCCAAACAGCTGGCAAGGGTGAATTAAACCCATTAAAGACACATTTATAAGAAATTATATTCACATAGATTGCCTGAACCCCCTTGTGTAGCCTAAGAGAGGAGATGAGCGCATTTAAATGAAAATGTCGCCGAACGCTCCCCTCCTTAACGTAGCCTGAAAGTCTCAAAACATTTTACTAAATAGATTAACTTGACTATTGTCTTGCATCTCATTTATCAGCTTCATTAAGTGAATAGCTGAACAAATATATTACGTATGCATGAAAAGCTCTTTTTCGAGGAACCTCATTGTATCCTCAGCCCTGACAGGTGGTTAACTGTGTGTTGTGTTTTTTTGTGGGTTTTTGTGTTTTCTTTTTCTTTTCTTTCTTTCTTTCTTTCTTTTTTTTTTTTTTTTTCTAACCCGAAGAAAGACGATCTCTGTGCAGCGGCGCGGCGCGCAGTGCGGGCTTGGCGGGAGTTTACTTTAAACTCCCTCCGTGGAGCCCCTCTGCCCCGGCCGTATTAGCAGCGTGAGTGTTGGGCGAAGGCGATCTCAGCCCATTCAAAATTAATCAAAATTAATTTTGGCGAGGGGGTCCTTGAGTGCTTTTTCTCTCCATAACCCTCTCCCCCACCCCTGTCTGGGATATTAATTTCATATTACTTCTTTTCAAAGCTGATGATTCCCTCCCTCTCTCCTTTCATTGCCTTTACTGTTCCTTGCTTAACCGGCTTTTTGCAGACAGAGGGATTAAATATTTTTTTTAATTGATTTGGATCAATTTCACCGTTTCATCTTTAGGGAAAGTCCTTGTCTCCTGGGCCTCAGTGTCCCTGTGGGTAAAGTGAGGGGTTGCCCTAGGAGCTCTCTAAGGGACCATTCAGATCTGACCTTCTAAAGTTAAAACAAACAAACCCTCCCAGAACCCTCAGCTCTTTGGCGCCTCACCTCGGGCAGCAGCTCTCAGTGGCTGGGCCCTGGTCACGCCGAAGGACGCTATCTCCAGGTACTAGGGGCCCACCCTCGGT